AATTGTCTTTGCTCTCATTCTTCTCAATGGAACATTCAAATGCATTTCCCTAATATCACTGGTACCAACGAGCACAAAAAGTCACTGTATAATAATTTAAATATATTAATTTCTCCTTGCCTCCACCATTGATGTGATAGTGCACAACTCAATGTCCTTCAAAAGTTTAATTTGCACAAATATTTTGTTTACTTTTTAATTTTAAAGAGCAAAAATGTGAAGAAAAACTAGAACAAATAACAAGAAGACAAAAAGAAAGTAGTATAAACAAAAATAATATACAATTTCAAAACAAAAAAGGAATATGAATATTAGATTATGTAATGTTATTGTCAAAATTTATTGCTCAAATTACAAGGTGTAGATCTGCAACACTGATCAAACAATTAGACTTTCACTCTTCCTTTCAATAAACCTTAATTTGTCCTTCTTCTGTTTACTTTTCATTTTTAATTTATTTTAAAGAAAGCATAATAATAATAGACAAGACAGCAAAGATAGTAAGTATTTAAAAGAAAAGATGAAAGGTATTCAACTGTCGTTGTTCTGTTGCACGTTGTTGTCCCCAGATGTTGCTTTGAGACAATGTAGAAAATCCTTTTGTATAATGATGAAAGGAGAACCTGTGACTCAGGATTTCATCTGCATCTCTGTGGCCATTCCTTCCAAGTACAAGGAATATGGCCATCTGAATCTGCAAGGGAGACTTGCCATTTTGAAATAGTCATGAATTCTTACTGGTTTCTTTAATCCTATCTCCAGTGCCTATTTAAGGATTGACCTAATGAAAAATGATGTGTCCTGCTCTTCATAAGGGAGCACTCAATATGACCATAAAAACTGTCAGCACATTCACATTCCTCCATTTAACAAAGTCATTGCTGCAGAAGGGAAATTTGGCAGTAATTTCTATTTATTTTATTCGTATAAACTAGAGACCACATATATAAGTGAAATATGTCAAGTCCGCACGTGTAAATATCACATTGCCTCATTAGTGTAAGAACCTGAAGTAAATAAAATCTGAAAGGCACAATAGATACTGTGAAAGGGAAAGAAACAGTTCAAAGGGAAGGAACCACTGGGATGAGAGAAAGGTGAAAAAAAAAGAAAGAAGGAAAGGAAAAAATTATATACAAAAGATTGCTTGGAAAATTGTACTGTTAATTTCTGCTGGCCTATTGAAAGGAATATTTATGTTTAAATTTATTTTTCTCTCTCTTATTGTTAAATTTTTCAAACAATTTTGCATGCTTATATCTGGAAATCTTAACTACTAATTTGAAGCCAATAATATGCAGAAAAACAACCACTGGTAAATTCCTATCAATTTGTCTAGTAAAATTCTGTACCACTTGTAATAGTTTTCACTCTTTTTTTCTATTTTTAAAAAGTAGTACAAAATAAATTAGGTTTTTCTGTGACAAAAAAAGGAAATTAGAAAAACAAATTATAAAACCTGGTTGGAGTCCAGCCTGCATAAGGGTTAAGATGCTGATTAATGCTGTCCAGAGGAACAGTGTCTGCAGATGAGATGTGGCTAAAGCCTCTGTCCACTGAATATTCAAGGACAATAAAAATAGTCAGCCTTAGAGCTTAAGCAGTGCTCCTAATTAGTAATATTTGCTGACTTTTTCTAACTTTTTTTTTCTAGGCTTACCTACCCTACACTTTCTCCACCTCCTCCAAATCCATGGAAACTTAATAAATATGAGCTGTCCGGGAAAGTTCTACTCTTTAATCATAGAGAATTCTGGTTTTCCTGAATCCCCCAAAATCATACTACTTGTCTTTTTTAAATTTAACCCTTTACCACAACTTACTTTAGGATGTTGAGGGCTAAATCAAATCCCCTATAAAACTTAATTTTAATTGGCATGATATTAAGTTAAGCTTCCATCTTGAGTATTATCAAAGGAGAAGGAAAAACAGCAGGGGAGGCTTATAAAGGAAAGTGAACGAATTGCATCATATTAAGGTAGAGTGGTCAGTGTATTGAGAAATCTGCCTGTCAGTATTCCTCAACCCATCTGTTCTCTATTTCCCAGAGGCCATTCACTTACTTCCCTGATAATTTCTATGCACCCAGGCAGTGGGTAACACATTGACCATACCTGTGCAGATGACCCCAGCATCCTCCTGGTGATTGCAGTAGGTATTGTTCCAGCCAAGGGAAGGGCACTGCCACAAGTGGGATTCATGCCCTGTACATATCATGCTTTGCAGCCATATGGGCCCAGATCCAGCCCCAAAGTAAGCAGACAGTACAGCACCCAAAGCTGATCCACAGCCCAGCTGTTTGCATACTATTTTGGCATCAGTGATATCCCAGCCCCAGTGACAAATGGTTCCCCAGGAGTGCTGGTGAAGTATCTCTACTCTTCCTGCACAACGACTGCCTCCATTTATCAGGCGGAGCTGTGGGCTTTCTGAGGAAAGAAAATCGTATTAATACTTAGTTTTAAATGGAAAATCAGATTTTAAGGTTTCTTGGGACCCACTTAACCAAGCAATTAGTAGCACTCTGCTTTTGCTACACAGAGCTTCCTAGATAAGGCATAAACAAATTGCTATAGAGTAGCAGTGGGCTTTCTGACAGAAACAAAAATGATGAGATTACTAGGGTTAAAAAATAAGAGATAGTAAACTGAAAATAATCCAGTGAAAAGGGATTAAAACTATATAATGACCCTCTAGAATGAACCTGCTCATTTGTAAGGCTCTGCAAGGGATATGAGAAAAATAGGCTGGGAATGTCAGGTTTCTTACCGTGCGTGGTTGACAATGTCTTTCATTGGATGAATTCTAAGAGTCACTAAAAAGGATGTGCTCTTGAATTTGATGTATTTTTCACCAACTAAACTCCATTGATATGATAGTTATAAGAACTAGAACCCATGAAATTAAATCACAGATATAATGACCTGACATAAGTTAATCAGAAGGCTCAGGTGGCAGGCAAGGATTAAGAAAAACTAGAATTAAGCTTATTAAAAAATTATTGGGAGCAGAAGAAATAATGGCAGAGAAATGTATGGCTCACTCAAGAATATTTCACTTAGAAATTGAGATTTCAGAGTCCATATCTATGTACTTGATTTAAGGTATGCTTCTTGGGGCTAGGGAGATAGCTTAGTTGGATAAGCGCTTGCCTGGCAAGCACAAGGGCATGAGTTCAATCCCCAGCTCCACAAAAAAGAAAGAAAGAAAAAATAATAAAGGTATGCTTCTCTTTGAGTAGATTGGACAATCTCATAGGAGAAAGGATGTCCCATGATAAAAATACTGATCAGGTTCTTCCAAGAATCACACAAAATACCTAAGTAAGACCAAATAAATATATGTGCTGCTTGAATTTCTTCATCCGAATTGGTATTATTCAAAAGTTAGTATCTTTTTTACCAAGGAAAAAATGTATTTTGAATTCTTAATGCTTCTTCTGAGAATAGATAGATCATATCCTTGCTCTGAAAGCATAGAGCAGAAAATTTTGGCCAAGGAAGTGCTTTTTCATTATCATTTTATTCATGAGAAAAATGAGGATAAGGATTTTTTTTAAGGAAAAGCTGGGTGTGGTGGTGCTCACCTGTAATCCTAGCACTTGAGAGGCTGAGGTAGGAGGATTGTCATAAGGTCAAGACCAGCCGGAACTATATAGTGAGATCATTTTTCATAGTGAGTGGGAGGAGGACACATAAAGAACAAAAGGGAAGGCAAGAGGAAAGCAGAAGAAGTAGTGCTTAATGATTATGCCAACAGGTGCAAGTCTTAGTGAGTCTCACCTGAACAAGAAACCTCAGCAGCCCCACCATGCTGGCAGCTGCCTCCAGCACAGGGTACTCTGGGGCAGAACCAGAGCTCGGGCTCCTGTCCAGTGCACTGGAACTCTTCTGCCCAAACCTGCTCACTGGCACTTCTGAGCATGGTTTGCCCAATAGACACAGCCTTGCCACACCCGAGCTCTGCACAGATAACCTGGGCAGTGGGAAAAGTGAAGTTCACATCAGACACTGGAGTCCACCTTCTTTCATGTTTAACTTCTACTCGCCCTGAGCATGGTCCTTTTGGTCCATCTAGACGCAGAAATCCTACAAGAGAAAGCAAATTCACTAAATATCCATGATGCAGACTTAGAATCTGTAAAGATATGCTAAAAGTGATGGTGCAAAAGACTTTCCCAGAATTGTCATGGGAAGATTTGCAAACTTGTGTTAGAAAGTGCTTTACATGACATTGTGCTTGGAAACAAATCCACAAGGAATTTTCAGAGTTAGCTCAGACTGTCTGTGATCTTATCATTTATATTCAAATGTAAAATTAGATATGCTTTTAAAAGAATTTAGTATTTTATATATTAAAGAAAATTCATTTATCTCTAATTATATCTATATACAGTCTTCCTTGTTTTCTAATATCTATGTCTGTCCACTGAATGTGACCTCAATTAAAATGAATTAAGCTTTCTTATTACACTTCTATTCCTAGAAAATTTTAGTTCCGGGAGCCAGGGAGATAATTCAATAGAATAAGTGCTTGCCTGGCAAGCACAGGGTCCTGAGTTCAATGCCTGGTATGAAAAAGGTAAATAGATAGATAGATAGATAGATAGATAGATAGATAGATAGATAGATAGATAAATTCAGTTCCCTGGTATTAATGCCTAATGAATTAAAACTTAAATTGGAACTATTTCCTTGACTATTAAACCTTATAATTTGCATTGACTTCCCATTTATACATAAATAAGAGCCCCATGATACAGTATAGGAGGAAATGTCAGGTTTTTGTGACTAAGATAAGGGGTCTCATATTTCCCATTGCAAAATACCAAAGAAAGCTTGGAAGCTGTATAGTAATAATTAGGACATATGAGAATTTTGTTTTTAAGGATTTCTTTTGTCAGTCTTTAGTAGAATTTGAAGAAACCTTAAGACATTTTCCTATGAAGATGAACAGGAATTGATTTCAAAAGCAGCATCAGAGCTCTGAGGAGTCCTCTGTCTATTGGCATAGACATATTACCTAACCATAAGTATTTGTAATGAAGATCTTGAGCAGGCATTGTGTTCTCAGAAGAAAAACATGTTCAGTGATATTTTATTTCTAAAGTGTGTCACAAAAAAATCACTAATTTGTTTTCTAAAAGTTGTTATTTCATTCTATGTAGACATTCTTCTATTTCTTTTTGAGCCTAATGTAGGAAATCAAAGTCTGAATTCCAAAAGTGCTTATAGACCGTTATTTGAAATTGGCTGTAGTGGGATGATGA